CCTCCTCCTCCTCCTCCTCCTCCTCCTCCTCCTGTGGCGTTGCCCCCGGGCCCCCATCTGGCCCCCGGTGACGGTGGCTGCCTGCGGGACGCAGAAAACGTCCGCCGCGCGCGCGCGCGCGCTCCGCCGCGGCGGCGGGCGCGGCCCGGAGGGGTAAAATTTGGCGGGGTCCACGGGGAAGGCGGCGCGCCGAGGGCGAGGCCCTTCTCTCGAGGAGGAGATCGGCTGCACGAGCGATTTCCGCGAAAGTGTTTTGTCTCGGCGAACGTACGAAACAATGCATAGTTGTATAAACCTCAGGGTGCTTTCACTAAATCGAATATCGTGTTTCATTCGACGAACCAGCTAGTTTTGAGTGGCATCGACTCTGTAGACGATCGATCTCCTACTCGACTTCAGGACTCCGGATTGCTGGCGTGCCCGAGGGGGGGCAGGGCAGGGGGGGGCGGGCTTCTCATGTGGTGGGGCCTCTCAGGAACCACCCCGCTTTCTGAGAAGCGTTCCCCCAAACCACGGACGGTTCCCCCGAGGGCGCGAAAACCTCGACGTTTTACCAGAAGGCTCGCCAACTTTTGAGAAGGCCGACTCCCTATACCTTACAACACCCGCGGCGATTCGCCGACTTGATCATTGGAGGGACAATTGCGCCAACTTTTGGTGCAGAGGCCGACTCGCGCTCCCGCCAGGATGCTCCTCTCTGCACGCACCCCGTCGCATACCCAAGCGCCCTCCGCTCTGTTTTGTCCCATCCCTCTTGTCGGGTTGTCGTTTTGAACAGAGTGCTGCGGTCTCCAATCTTCCTTCCTCCCGCCGCCAATTGTCTTTCCTGTTTGTGTAATTCCTCCTACTGCGCCATCCTGGGAGGGGGGGCAGCGAACCTGAAGCTGTCACAATTTCCGAGGGATCTTTGGAAGGCCAACGTGGTGGGCACCGAACACACATTCTTATTACACATGACCACCCCTGGGCGGTTGCTCTCTGCGAGAGTGTGGAGATTTTTCGAAGGTTGCTGGAAGGCCCGCGTATTGGGGTACCGACCGCATACTCATACTAAACGTCGAAAGCCAGGGGGGCTGCGATCTGTAAAACACTCGCCACTTTCGGCGGCACCTGGGAAGGCCAGCGCAGGTGGGTTCCGAATGCGCACTCAGATTCGGCCTCGCCTCCACTGGGAAGTTTTGATCTTCGAAAGCTGCCATGGCTCAAATGAGACCTCGCCATCCCTGGGTGGTTGCGGTCTGCAACAATGTCGCCACTGTTCAAAAACAGTTGGAAAATCCACCGCAGTGGATACCGAGCGCAGGCCTATATTGGACCGCGCAGTCCCTGGAGGGGCTGCGATTTGCGAAACCGTCGCCACTTTCGAAGGCCGCTGAGAGGGCCAGCGTAGTGCGCACCGAACGCAGAATCAAATGAGACCTCGCCATCCTCGCGGGGGCTGCGGTCTGCGAAACTGTCGCCACTTCCAACGGCTGCTGGGAGGGCCATCCTAGTCGGTACACACTTCGTTCGTGCAGAGCCGAAACCCAACATTCGGCGGTGGACAAACCTCCCTTTGGCAGACCCCCCCCTTAGGGAAAACGGCCTGGGACCGACACCGACGGACCCTGGACCCGCAAACACGACGGCCTGCGACGCCCCCTCGCGACCCGACAACGGCCAATTCCTTCATCGTCGTGTCAGGGAAGGAGGTCTGTCCACCCCCGAAGCATGGGCCATTTCGGGGGCCCGGCCAGGATCGGTCGGGGCAGGTCGGGGCAGCTCGCGGCGAAGGGGAGGAGGACGGAGCCGCTCTCGAGCGCAGAAGCAGCAGGGAGAGACACGGGCGCGCGGCCCGCCTGGCGCCCAAGGCAAGCATGCGCCAAAATGGCTACGGAGGGGAGAGGAGGAGGAGGAGGAGGAGGAGGAGGAGGAGGAGGAGGAGGAGGAGGAGGGAGGAGGAGGGGGAGGAGGGAGGAGGAGGAGGAGGACGGAAGGAGGAGGACGAGGAGGAGGAGGAGGAGGAGGAGGGAGGAGGAGGAGGAGGAGGAGGAGGCGGTCGGGGCAGCTCGGGAGGCCCTCCGAGAGGCCTCCCCCTTTGCTCCCCCAACAGGGCCGCCGCCTCCCGTCGCCGACGGCCCGCCTCCCCCTCGGCGCCCTCGGCCCCCAGCGAGGCACCCCGCTCTGCGAGGGACGCCGCGGATGGATCTACAGTCGGGGCGTTGACCTAAAGAACCGTAAATTAGGAACGAGGCCCCTTGTTTCCATGAATTAAACTTCGATGTCCCGTCGAAGACCTACGGAAAACAGAAGGTAAACTGTGAAACCATTAAGGAACACGGAGCCCCTGCCCAACGAAAAGGGTTCCTTCTTCAGGGCCCCGACTGTACGAACATTCGGGGGGGGGAGCCATGGGAGACTGGATGGGAAGGGGGGGAAGGAAGTGAAGGACTCGTGTTGGAGCAATGCGAGGGAAGTGAGAAGGGGGAGCTGCGTGCTCACATGCTCAGTCTGAGGGGGAGGCTGGGAGACTGGACACTGGATGGGCCTGCCTCCGGAGAGGCAGGTTCCGAGGGGGGTGTGGCAGGGAGAAAGAGAGGGAGGGCGGGGAGGGGAGAGGCGGCGACGAGGATGGGGAGACACAAGAGAGGGACGGGGGGGGAGGGACGCAGGGAAGGACGGGGGGGGCAGGGGAGAGAAAGGGAGGGAGGGAGGTGGATGAGGAGGATGATCAGCAGGAGGCGAAGGACGAGGAGGACCAAGAGACAGAGGGGAGTCAGTGACGGAGGGAGAGGGGAGCAGTGAGCGATAAGGGGAGGATGGGGGGGAGTTAGGGAGGGAAGTGGAGAGCGGGAGGAGCAAAGGAGGGAGCCGACGTGATGCAGGGGGGAGGGAGGGGAGCAAAGAGGTCGAGGGCTGCAGCCCTCATGCCAAGACCAATCCTGCGTTTGAGAGATTGGCCATCGAGCAATGCTGTATATAGAAGAAGAAACAAAAAACGCCAAAAACATAAACTGTTGGCGCTCCGCGCGGATTTCTTGGTGCTTCGCCTGACCCTCCTCTCTGACGCGCGGAGCGCACAAGGGGCGGCGCCGGGGGCGCGGCCGAGGGGACCCAGCGCGGATCCAAGAAATCCACGCGGGGCTCCAAAAGCTTATGTTTATGATGATTTTCTTCTTCGAATATAACGAGCACGTGCCGCGCCTAGCCGTAGAGGTCGTCATCGTCGTCCGCAGCCGCTGTGGCGTTCCCTCCGCCGATGCCGGGAGCATCGGGCCAGTTGATCACCATTCCTGGCAGGCAGACGACCCCAGCCCCCCCCCCCCACTGAGCACCTCCTCCTCCTCCTCCTCCGCCTCCTCCTCTCCTCCTCCTCCTCCCTCCTCCTCCTTCCCCTTCCTCCATCCTCCTCTCTTCCTCCTCCTCTCCTCCTCCTCGCTCCTCCTCCTCCTCCTCCTCCTCCTCCTCCTCCTCACTCCTCCCTTCTCCTCCTCCTCCTCCTCCCCTCCTCCTCCTCCTCTCCACTCTCCTCCTCCCTCCTCCTCCTCCTCCTGCTCCTCCCTCCTCCACCTCCCTTTCCCACATCCTCCTCCTCCTCCTCCTCCTCCTCCTCCTCCTCCTCCTCCTCCTCCCCTGCCAAGCGGCCCGTGTCATCAGGAGACGCGATGAGGATGCAAGGGCCTTGGCCGCCCGTGTCGAAGCTTCTCGAGCGGGGCGCGGCCGACGAGAGTGGCCAATGATTGACCGAGGAGGCGAGGGTGAAAGTTGTCTCCGGGCAGCGGGGGTCTTTCCTAATGGGGTCACAAAAACAACATGCAGTAGTTCATCTCGTGACACACGGCGCGTGGCAGCCACGTGCTGAGATTGCACGACGTGCGCATCCCGCACGAACGATTGCAGGAACTATTGCGTACATGCTCGAGACCCCCTTTGCGAAGGACCCATTAGCTCGAAACCGAGAAAGGGTCTCCTTGAGAAGGTTGTCCATCCTTCCGATGCGGGCTGACTGTATTAGTCCAGCCCTTCAGCCAACGCACCCAAGTGTGCATCGAACACGGCGGGGCTGCTCAGCAAACGCCATGGGCTGTCCAGTGAACGCAACCCGTCAGCGTTTTCCTGTTTGGCGTTTCGGCCTTGGACGGAACGGGGGAAGGGGGGGGGCTGGCTCCGGACCTCTGCTCAGTGCGACTGTTTGCAGTAGTGCGTCCTGTGGGGAAGACTCCGCCTGCTTGAGACAGGCGCCAAAAACAGCCAAGATCTATTCCATGGGGGGGAAAGGGGGGCTGCGAGGGCCCGCGCCGAACGGCAGCACAATGAATCAGAAAACGAGCACATGGGGGTTTGGGGGGTGTTTTGTCCTCCCTCGGAATTCCGCTGCCGCCACCAGACTGGGTCATGTAGACGGGGTCGAACTTCTTGCGAAACTGGTCGAACTTCGCCAGGTCCGTGGCAGCCACGGAGCGGCGTGCGCCGTTGAAGGCCTCCTCGAAATGCTTCCTGCCGAGGGGCAAACATTCCGCCATTACACACCAGTCAACGCCTTAACAGTGCTGGGAACTCTGGGCAATCAACCTGCCCACGTTCGCCGAATATACTCTCGCCCAATGGGTGGTGCAGGCAACCCGCTGCTCTGTGCAGTTGCAGCAGGCTCTGCGCTGTAAACATTCCACGAGGGACGAGGGGGGCGGATAATATAACAAGCACAATCAGCACAACCATAACATTTCGGAGATCCGCGCGGATTTCTTGAATCAGCGCCCTTCCCCTCTCGCAGAGCCTCAGGCGCCGCCCCTAGCGCGCTCCGGCCATCAAGGAGGGGGAAGGGGGTCCAGAGCCGATTGAAGATATCCGCGGCGGACCTCCAACAGTTTTTATGTGTATGCTGCTCCTTTCCGAGTGAGGAAAGAGCGAGGATGGAGGGGATCCTGGGGAATTGTTTTACCATTGCTGCGGGGGAAATCCGAGGACTGAGCCAAACGACGAGCCAGCCCCCGTTTTCTTGATGCGAACTCGCCTGCCAAGGCGTGAGCCCACCAATGAGGATGAGGGTTGTGGACGGCCAAGATCCACAACTATGGAGGCCATCTGGATGGGGTCCGAGTAGATGGTGTCGAAGGATTGCGCCGCATCGCCGATGCCTCACCAGTGCATCGGCGACGTCGGCGATGCATCGGCGACGCTGGCGTGGAGAACATCGGGCTCCACACCGAGCCGCATCGCCGATGCAGCGGCGATGCAGCGGCGATGCGGCGCGAGATCCTCCGACCCCATCTGCTCGGACCACATGTGGGAGGCCTAGATCCCCATCCCCCCCCTGACTGGACCCTAGACTTCAGTCGGGCCCCAACAATAATCAAAAAGTTGTCCAAACATAGTCCAGGGACTATTTTTTGCATATTGCTGGATCTTTTGGGGGGTATTCTTGGGGTCTTTGTTTTATTCTTCGTCGACAATCCCCCTGCAGGGGGGCACGCCCGATATAACCCCAGACGAGGAGAACGGCAAGATTTGGAGGCCTGGAGCTTCATCAGCACCAACACCGACCCCTTGGGCTGCCGCCACCCCGGGAAAGCTGCTCCCGACTGCTGGTGTGCCGGCAGGGTGCTCGTGGGAACCTTCTGGCTGCCCAGGAAGCCCGAATCTCACCACCGTCACCGAGATTGGGATTATGTCGGGCGTGTCCCCTACAAGGGGATTTGGGGTGAGAAACAAAACATACCCCCAAAAATATTCCAAAAAGGCAAAACATATTCAAAAAAAAGTCCCCAGACAATATTTGGACTATTTTCTTTTATTCCCTACCTAGGCTCTGCCTAGAAGGGTTTTTTACTCTGTTTGCTTAAAGGGCCGGGCAGTGGGGCACGCCCCGGGCGGTTCCCCTGGCATCCGCCCCGCGGTTCCCCCAGTGACGTTCCCTTAGCTTCGCGCTGTTTATCTCATCTTAACTTAGCCTATTTCATCTTACCTTAGCTTAGCTGCATCTTACCTCAGTTTTATCTTAGCTTAGCTTACCTTAATCTTAGCTTCGCTGAGTTTTAGCATAGCAGAGCACAGCACAGCATGGCATAGCGTAGCATAGCATAGCGCAGCATCGCATATCATGGCATGGGTGTACTATTAGCTTAGCTTATTACATATTAGCTTAGTTTAGCTCCATCTTAGCTGAGGTTTATCTTAGCTTAGCTTACATTCATCTTAGCTTCGCTGAGCTTTAGCATGGGTGTAATTCCCTGCCTAGGCTCTGCCTAGAGGGTTAGCTTAGCTTAGCTTAGCTTAGCATAGCGCAGCGCTGCAGTAGCATAGCATAGCATAACATAGCCAAGCGCAGCACAGCATGGCATAGCATAGCATAGCGCAGCATAGCAAAGAATAGCATATCACAGCACAGTGCAGCTTAGCATAGCATCGCATAGCGCAGCATAGCACAGCGCAGCATGACATAGCATAGCTTAGCAGAGCTTAGCATAGCATAGCATAGGGCAGCATAGCATAGCATAGCATAGCATAGAATAGCATAGCGCAGCATAGCATGGCATAGCATAGCATAGTAACTAATGCTGCTTTCCTAGGGGATCCAACTTCTAGGTAGGGTCGCACCGGGGTAAATATTTTTGGGGAACTTTCAAATTTCCGTCGCAAAGCCCCCTGTAGAGGGACAGGCCCGATTTAATTAAGATTGGGATCTTCCCCTGGTGGGTGCACACCGCCGATATTGGTGCTGGTGCCAACCTCTAAGAGATTGTTTTTTTATTCTGGCCGATAACGCTCGTTACCCGGGGGGGGGGGGGGGGCGGTCGTGCCCCCCGGGCAACGGTAACGCTTGGGCTGGGCGGGGTATGGCGAGGCAGGGGCGCTCTGCGATCGCCATAGTATGCGCGCGAGCAGCACTCTCTGCCTGAGAGCACCACAGTGGCTTGCGATTCGAGTACAAGCGCAAAGCCCGCCGCGTGGTCCCGCCACCACGCCCGCGCCCGCGCGCGCGACGACGATGATCGACGAGCGACGAGCGACGAGGTCGACGACGACGACGACGACGTTTGCCGCCTGTTTCGGCCTCCGGAGGCCGTTTTCGAGCGCCGTCGACGACGACGACGACGACGACGACGACGACGACGACGTTTTTCGCCTTTTCGGACTCCGGAGGCCGTTTTTCGGGCGCCGTCGACGACGACGACGACGACGACGACGACGACGACGATGAAAACGACGACGACGACGACGACGACGACGACGACGACGACGATGACGACGACGACGACGACGACGACGTCGGCGACGGCGACGGCGACGGCGACGACGACGACGACGACGACGACGACGACGACGACGCCGGCAACGAGGACGACGACGACGACGACGACGTTGTTTTTGTGCCTTTGTCGGACTCCGGAGGCCGTTTTTCGGGCGCCGTCGACGACGACGACGACGATTCGAGTACAAGCGCAAAGCCCGCAAGCACCAGCATCGCGCATGCGAGCGCCGCAGTGGCCTGCGAGCGCCCACAGTGCGCCTGCGACCACCACACCACAGTGCGCATGCCTTCGGGCACCAGCATGTTGGAGGGGAAGACCGAGACCCCCCCCGCGTACGAGCGGTACCGGGGGGGGGGGGGGGGGGGGGGGGGAGAGGCCCGGGTAACGAGCGTTACCCCCCAGAGGATAAAAAAACAATCTCTAAGCCTCCGAAAGATCAGCGAACATCGGAATCGGGTCCAGTCGGAATGGAGATCTCCTCGGGGGCGCACGGGCACGGAGTCAGCATCGCACCGGACCGGCCGCGCCAGAAAACGCACGACGACGCCATGCAAACATTGGGCCGAACCACATCGAACGATCATCGCCGGGACCAGGGCTCCCAAGCCCAGCGACCCACCAACGAGCCAACCCGTCAGGGAACCAGCCCGCCATGAAGATCGACAGATGGACACGACGCAATACTCATTCCATTCGACACATCGTACTGCGAAAGTGACTGCCAGACTGCCAACTCCCTCCTTCCCCTCCTCCTCCTCCTCCTCCTCCTCCTCCTCCTCCTCCTCCTCCTCCTCCTCCTCCTCCTCCTCCTCCTCCTCCTCCCCCCTCATCCTCCCTCACTTTCTCCTCGAGGTAAGGCCCTCTAATGGATAACCAGGACGACAAATTCGCACAGATCGGTCTGGAGCTCCCCAGATCGGCGGCACAGGCCGGATGCCTCTACTCCATATGAGTATGAACATGTTAGCCACCGTGGACCCAAAACATTAGATTCTTGCAGTCTATCCGGTGCAATCTATGTGGTGCAATTGATTTTGACCCATGATTTGACACATCCCACGCTCTTGCAAACATCCCACCCACCCACCCGCAACTTGGTTTGCAAAACCTCTTAAGACCGACTACGACGACACCGCCGACAACGACTACGACGTCTCCGACGACGTCTCCGACGACTTCGACGGCGACAACGACGCCGACACCGACGACGACGAAGACGACGACGACGCCAACGAAGACGACGACGAGGGCGGAGGAAGGACGACGACGGCGACACAGACGACAACGACAACGACGAGGGAGGAGGGAGGACGGCGACGACGCGAACGACGAAGAAGGAGGAATGACGGCGACGCCGACGACGACAACGACGAGGGAGGAGGGAAGACGACGACGACAACGACGACGACGACGACGACGGCGACGAAAAAAGAGGGACGACGACGAGACGCCGACGACGGACGACGACGACGACGAGGGTGGAGGAGGAAGGACGACCACGGCGACAACGACGACGGAAACGACCACGACGCCAAAGAGGACGACGACGAACACGAGGAAAGACAGAGGACGACGTAGGCGACGACGACGACGACGCGGAGGAGGGAGGACGGTGACGACGACGACGACGACGACGACGCAAGAGCGCGCGCGCACGCTTTCATTGAAAATCCGTGTTGCGACACCTTGCGTTTCTGTAGGTTTTGGACACACGATGTTGAAATCCTTCCGAAACCGATGGGTTTTGAAGGATTTCGGCATACGCGCCCGTTTTTTGCAGAGGATTCTCGCGACGACACACGCGCAAGGGCGTTCGACAGATTTCGACATGCGCGCGCGCGAAGCCCGTCTGGTAGCCTTTTGTGAAAATCTGGAAAACAAATGGTCTTAAGATTTCGCAAGAGCTCGCGCGTAAGTTTTTTTAGCAAATCAGTGTTGCGAAACCGTGTGCTTTTGTATGTTTTTTGGAAACCCGATTGCAAAATCCTTCCGACACCCAAGGTTTTGAAGGATTTCGGCATGCGTGCGCGACGACGCGCGCGTGTGCACTTCGTCCCATGTGTTGCAAGGGATTCGTGAAACAGTTTTATGTTAGATCAAACATGTCCCCGCGTATTGTTTTTTACAAGGGAACCTCAGGGGGGCCGATACCGCCCCCCCTGGGATAGTGCACATTCATATTTAAGATGGACATGTGGTCACAATCATACATGATTTACATTTGGTAGTCCCCAAACGTGGTGGTGACAATACCTGGTGGTGAGTCTCGGGCGATTTGGCGTCACCACCCGGTTTGGGGACTCGTGCGGTTTTCCGAGGATGTCCCCGACACTGGTGGGTCCAGGAGTCACAAAACCCGGTGGTGACCCCGCGTCACCAAACCCAGCGGTGACCTTTCTGGGAATTCCAAGTCGCCACCTGGTATCTCACCACCCGGTTTGGGGGTTCCCAATACATACCCGAAAACGGGGCGGATAACACCGGAGGGGGTAGAGTCTATTCTTTTTTTAGAAAGGGGAATCGATGTGGCGCAACCAACGCGGCGCCACCTACGTCATGCAGCCCACGCGGCGCAATCTATGTGGTGCAATCCACTTTGACCGTCTTGAAGCTGTCCTCTCCGCTGCTCGTGCAAACATTCCACCCTCCCACCTACAACTTGGTCGCAAGACATCTTATGACAAGACCGTGACGGTAGGTACCACATGGCACTTGGCCACGACACCGACGCCGACGACGACAGCGACAACGACGACGACGGCGACGCCGACACCGACGACGACGACACCGACGACGTCTCCATCGACATCGACGACGACAACGACGACGACGACACCGACGACGACGACGCCGACGACGACGACGATGACGACGACGACGATGCCGACGCCGACGACGCCGACGACGCCGACGCCGACGACGAAGACAATGACGACGGCGACGACAACGACGACGCCAACGAAGACGACGACGAGGGAGGAGGGAGGACAACGACGGCGACAACGACGACAACGACGACAACGACGAGGGAGGAGGGAGGACGGCGACGACGCGAACGACGAAGGAGGAAGGACGGCGACGCCGACGACGACAACGACGAGGAGGAGGGAAGACGACGACGACAACGACGACGACGACGCGATGAAATAGGAGGGACGACGACGAGACGCCGACGACGGACGACGACGACGACGAGGGAGGAGGAGGAAGGACGACCACGGCGACAACGACGACGGAAACGACCACGACGCCAAAGAGGACGACGGCGACGAACACGAGGAAAGACAGAGGACGACGTAGGCGACGACGACGACGACAACGACGCGGGAGGAGGGCAGACGACAACGACGACGACGACGACGCAAGAGCGCGCGCGCACGCTTTTATTGAACTTCCGTGTTGCGACACCTTGTGTTCCTGTAGATTTTTTGGACACACGATGTTGAAATCCTTCCGAAACCGATGGGTTTTGAAGAATTTCGGCATACGCGCGCGACGACGCGTGGCCTGCACTTCGTCTCATTTTTTGCAGAGGATTCTCGCGACGGCACACGCGCAAGGGCGTTCGACAGATTTCGACATGCGCGCGCGAAGCCCGTTTAATAGCATGTTGTGAAAATCTTGAAAAACCTGTGGTTTTCTTGAGATTTCGCAAGAGCTGTCGCGGAAGCGTTTTTAGCAAATCAGTGTTGCGAAACCGTGTGTTTTGTATGTTTTTTGGCAACTCGATTGCGAACTCATCCTTCCGGCACCGAAGGTTTTTGGAGGATTTCGGCATGCGCGCGCGACGACGCGCGCGTGTGCACTTCGTCACATTTTTTGCAAGGGATTCGTGAAACAGTGCTATGTTGGAACAAAAAATGTCACCACATAGTGTTTTTTGCAGGGGAACCTCAGGGGGGGATCCCGGTTGGCCTGGGACATTGTGATCTCATATTTAGGATGGACATGTGGTCAGAATCATACATGATTTACATACCCGAAAGGGGGGCGCTAACTCCGGGGGGGGGGGTAGAGTCTATCCTTTTGTTAGAAAGGAGAATCTATGCGACGGCGACGGCGGCGACGGGCGGCACCGCCTGCAAAAGCTGCCACTCGCCCCGAGCGGCGGCGACTGCGGGGACGGGCGGCACCGCCCGCAAAAGCCGCCACTTGCCCCGAGCGGCGGCGACAGCGACGGCGGCGACGGCTGCGACGGGCGGCACCGCCCGCAGAAGCCGCCATTCAAGCCCCAGATGGTTAATCCAAGTAAGAACCCCTAATTAGGTGCAAGCACTGTTTGGGGAAAACACACGTAGACGCGTTATATGTATTTAACATCAGAACACACTATTCGGGGTGGAGGCGGAGGAGCAGCAGGAGGAGACTGAGATTGAGATCCCCATTGCGAATGCAAGTTTACAGCAGGAGGAGGAGGAGAAGTAGGAGGAGGAGGAAGAATACAGAAGGAGAGGAGGAGGAGGGGGAGGAGGGGGAGGAGGAGGAGGAGGGGAGGAGGAGGAGGAAAGAGGGAAAAGGAAGTGAGATGGAGAGATGGAGGAGGGTAAGGGAGGAGGAGGGAAGAGGGACGAGTAAGAAGAGAGAAGGAGGGAGGGCAGGGAGAGGGACGAGAAGGGAAAAGGGGAAGGAGGGAGTGGCGGAGGGATGGAAGAGGGAGGCAGGATGGAGGGATGGAGGGAAAGAAGAATAGAGTGAAAGATGTCTCTAAGACCTCCAGCCCCAGGAGGCGCACAGAGGAACCAAACGTCCAAAATACATGCTCCACCTCGACAATGGCGGAGGACGACAACGACGACGACCGACGGAGACAATACTGATGAGCAGCGACGACGGCAGCGACGCTGGTGGCGCCAGCGGCGGCGGCGACGACGACGACTACGCTCGACGACAACTGCACTCGACGACGGCTAAAGCGACGCCGACGACGTCCGATGAAGACGTGCGACAAGGACATCCCACAGATGCCCCGATGACGGCGCCCACGACCGACGACGTTCGACGACGGACGACGGCGCCGAGGGACGGCGAAGACGGCGCCTCCGACCACCCGCGATGACCGACCGACGGCCCCGACGACCGACGACTGCGCCGAACGACGGCCAGCGGCGGCCGACGACGACCGACGGCGCCACGCGTCCTGCCGATCTCGCTCGCTCCGCCGTCGTCCATCGCGTCGTCGCCCGCCTCGCGTCCGCGCGCCGCCGCGGGGGGGCAAGGTGGGCCCTGGGCCAGCGGGCCGCCGAGGCTCCCGGGGGCCACAGGACGGACGGAGGGGGAGGAGGAACGGCGGAAGGAGGAGGGGGAGGGTCCGCCCTCTCCTCCTCCTCCTCCTCCTCCTCCTCCTCCTCCTCCTCCTCCGCCTCCTCCTCCTCCTCCTCCTCCTCCTCATGTCTCCTCCTCCTCCTCCGCCTCCCATCCTCCTCATACCTCCTCCTCCCTCCTCCTCCTCCTGTTCACATTCCCTATTGTTCTCCTCCTCCTCCTCCACTCCTTCGCTTTGCCCTCCTCCTCCTCCTCCTCCCCTCCTCCTCCTCTCCCATCCTCCTCCTCCTCTCCTCCTCCTCCTCCTCATTCATCCTCTTCCTCCTCACTTCCTCTCCTCCTCCTCCTCCTTCCTTCTCCTCCTCCTCTCCTCCTCCCTCACCGTCCTCCTCCTCCTCCTCCACTCCTCCCCTCCTCCTCCTCCTCCTCCTCCTCCTCCTCCTCCTCCTCCTCCTCCTCCTCCTCCTCTCTCTCCTCCTCCTCCTCCTCTCCTCGCTGTTCCTCCTCCTCCTCCTCCTCCTCCTCCTCCTCCTCCTCCTCTCCTTCCTCCTCCTCCTCATCCTCATGTTCCTCCTCCTCCGCGCGCCTCCTGACGCCTGCTGGCGGGGGGGCGCCAGGGTCATCGAAGGAGGGCGCCCCTCGGCAGGGCGGCAATCTATGTCTGTATACGCATATCCGCCGCCCCGGCCAGGCCCTCCCAGGGGGCCAGGGGGGCAGGGCGCCGCAAGTGGCACATAGACACCGATCCTGGGCCCAGAATGGGCCTGGCCTGGGGTGGTGAATGTGCATCGAGTTAGGTCGGACATGTCCCACTACAGGCGGATATTGGATGACAAATAGAAACGTAGTCGAAATATGTTCAAACGTAGTCAAAACAATACTCACCAAATCGTGCCCTTACTATTTGTGACTATTGTTGAATGTTCCTCCGGTAGAGGGACAGGCCCGACATAAGCATAGAGTATAAGTCCAAGGACCGACCACACCGATGCTTAACAACGCCTTGGCATTTAGAACGGAAGCGAAAACGATTACGAACGTTGACAACGAAACGTTTGAAACGATACGGGTGCTAAACGAAGACGGAAACGGAACGATGCCGCCATTCAGCGAGACAACAAAACAAAACACGGAACGAACTCCGCAGACCTCGTTGTCCTACCTCGGAAGGGCCGAATCCAGCTACGTGAAGCAGTCCAGCTCGAGGGTCGACGGTCTCTGTGCAGAGAGAAGACATGGGGGATTGCAAGGAGGGGGGTCAGCGAATCGGCTGCATGAGGCTAGTGACCCTGGCGTCACCCGCCGCTGGAGGCGCCAGGGTTGTCGAAGAAGCGCGCTACTCGGAGGGGCCGAAACTAGCTGCATGCAGCTGTCTGGTTCGAAAGTCGACCGACTCGGGGCTGGGGGCGGAGAGAACAAAGGGTGGGATAGCAGAGGGGGGGTCCATCGAATCAGCCGCGTGCGACCGGTTCTGCCCTGGCACCGTTGTCAAAGAAGAGCGCCTCGAAGAGGGGCCAAAACCAGCTGCATGCAAGAAGTTTCGCCCCCACACCGTTTCCCCAACAGCGGAGGCCGGGTTGGCACGACGTCGAAACGGATCGGTAGACATCGAAATCGACGCCGCTCCAGATCGAATGAAATCTCGAAATCGAGGTCGTGCATCGGAGTGTTCGCATCGAGTCGGCCCGAATCGGCTGCCCCAAAAATCGATTCGAATCTTATCAGTGGAATCGGAATGCGCCTGGGGGGGGGCACAGCCAGTCAGACAGGGCTGCCAGGAGGTTCGTTTGAGGATCGAGGATCGACGGTCTCGGGGCGGAGAGAAGCAAGTGGGGGTAGCAAAGGGGGGCTCATTGAATCGGCTGCATGCCGTTGGCTTCCCTGGCGTCACTCGTCTCTGGAGGCGGCCATGCATCTAGGAGAGTGCCTCTCGGAGGGGTCGACATCAGCTGCATGCAGCAGTCTTCGCACCACCCCCTTCCCTGACCTCTCCCTATCGTCCTCGTGGCCACAGCGCGACTCCTCTCGCGCGCACCCCTGGACGGATTCGGGGGGGCGATGTTTGAACCCCGGGCCCAGAGGCAAACAAACCTGTCATTTATTGTGGCAATGTGGGGGAGGGAACCGCTTCTGGTCTCTCCACGGGTTGACCATGGGCGTGGCACGTCCGAACCAGATACAGAACAAACGGGTACGATACCCAAGAACAAATGTTATCCCAACGCCGACAACGGAGGCCGTTGGGCGCAAAATTGGCACAAACTGCTGCTGGTCCACGTCTCCTGTCTTCCGCTCCTGTTTCCGTCGTGCCGATGCCCCTCCTCGCATTTAACGGGCGAAGAACGATAGAAACTAAACTTTTTCGCTGTCGGGGGCGCCTGCCCCTGGGCGGCTGGACCCTTACGGTACCGTAGGGGTATAAACTTTCCAGCCGCCCAGGGGCAGGCGCCCCCGAAGCGAAAAAGTTTATTTTCTATCGTTCTTCGCTCGCTGACACATATGTTGTTCCAGACGGGGTCTCCAGACAATCCTCGCCAGTTTTCTCACGATCTGCTCCTCGCCCAGAGCCGTGTGTTGGTGCCCCCGCTGCCCGAGAAGCCCGCCTCCAGACGCCGAGCCGGACAACAACAGCTCTGACTCGATGTTGGGAAAGGGGCCCCAGAACACACGCACAAATACACACAAATCAAAATATTCCCCATATTGTCCTATATGTTCTGAGGTTTTGTCTTCCCCCCCACTTCCCATATTTTCCCATATTTTCCGGGGGATCGACGATTGATTGTGTCTGTGTGTTTTTTCCCCTCCTGAGTTGGGTGGCGCGCTGCTGGGGGGCGCGTGCACTCACGGGTGCGGGTGAGGAGGGCGGCGATCCGGCGATGGGGCTCCCAGGACTTAAGCAGGGACCGACCGTCCCGGCATTCCTATAGTCCTAATTACCACGAAGTGTCCGTAGAACCCAAAAATCTTCTAAGAGCAAAAACCATGTTCTTAGAACATAAACCCAAGGTGTAAAACAAGACAGACTCCGCCAGAAATGTTCTAAGAACATTTCGTGCAAACCACGGAACATTGTTCGGTGGGGCTATAGGCGAGCCGGGACGCTTCGCCACTGCTTGAAAGAGGGCATGGAGCTCGTCAGAAGCCCTCTCTGCTTCTAGGAGCGCTCCTCTGGGGACACCAAACGGTACCGATACCGCTACTCCGCAGACCTCTCCCGGGGTGCGTTCTGACCAGGATCTCGAGGCGAATCCAGCGGTGGCGACGAGGACCGCCCAGGAGGCCCACAGAGGGGCAAGCGAGGGGAGGGTAGAGGTATGGGCACCCTCTCCCCCTCTGATCCTCGGAGCCCCCTCCTCCGTCGCAGCCCTCTCTTCGTGGCGTCGCCCCCGGGGAGCCGCGCCCCGCCGCCGTGGGGAGCCGGCTGCCGCTCCCGAGCCGCTCCCGGACGGCCCCCGGGGGGGGGGGGCAGGGGCACGGCCTCCGGGGGCCGCACACGCTGCAGAAGCACGTGCCGGTCGCGACGGGTCCAAAGGGCTCCCAACTTCCGCGCTCCGCGAGGCGCGAAGGGCAAAAAAAAACTTTGCGCTCTCGCGCCGCCTCCCAGGGGAAACGAGGAGGACGAGGAGGAGCCGGAGCCGAACCGCGAGGCGCGAAGAGCTTCGCGCCCTCGAGGGCGCCCCTGCGGTTCCCTCGGCGCCGCCCGGATCCGCGGGAAGGCGGGAGGCCTGCGTCCTCGGCCCAGGCGAGTTCACCGGCAGGGCAGTTCGCTTCCCCTCCCGCTGCCTCTGTAGAGGGCGGCGGCGAGCGGAGGGGGGGACGCGAGGAGACGGGGGCGGGCCTCCTCGGAAGGCTCGGAAGTCCCAGATGCCTTCCGAGAAGTGGTCTCGAGCTTCCCCGAAGGCACAGAGCACCTCTCAGAAGGCACGAGGGTCTCGGAGAGGTTCCGCCGCCTTCTGAGCAGGCCTTCTCTGAGCAGGGACCGACCGTCCCGGCATTCCAAGAGTCATACCACGAATCTTCGTAGAACCCAAAAATGTTCTAAGCACAAAGACACTGTTCTTAGAACATAAACCCGATGTGTTAAAACAAGACAGTCCCAGCCAGAAATGTTCGAAGAACATCTCGTGGGAACCACAAAAGGTTCTTAGAACATTGTTTGGTGGGGCTATAGGCGAGCCAGGACGCTTCGCCACTGCTTGCCTTCTCCTGCTCACCTCCCCCCCTCGCTCGCCGCTGGCAGACAGCGCCTGGGCCAGAAGGGCGTGCTGGCGAGTCCCGACGCGCGTGGAGGTCCAGCTTTGCCTTTCGGGCCTCGCCCGCCCGCCCGCCGCCCCCCGTCTCCGCTCCGCAGGGGGGACAACAAAACCTGCAGAAGCACAGCCTCTCGGATGACTGAACATTACCAGCCTGGCAGGAGAGCCCAGAATCGAATCGATAAGTTGGATCGGCGATCGAAATGAATCCGATCGGCGGAAATCGGCAGCCGAGTCGGGAAAAGTCGAATCGACAGAAATCGGCAGGCTGGTGTGCCTCCAATAAGAAATCGGAACCCAAATCGGAATCAGAAGTCGAATCGAATCGGCATCGGAAGCCATCAAAATCGAGTCGAATCGAGTCGGAGGAATCGAAACGAGCCCTGGCCTGGAACATGTCCCTATCCCTGAGCTGGGCATCGCCTCATCACGATGCCAATCTCAGGGATTCCCTTCGTTTTTCGCGGGGCATCCCTAAGATTGCCGTCGCCTCTTGGCGTGTCAATCTTAGGGGTAGGGATCAGTTCGAGGCCGGTGGGAACAAACATACACTTTCGGAAGCAACTGCGTCCACGGAAGCATACAACTTTCGGAGGTCCTCGCAGATTTCGTGAATCTGCGCCGCAACCCCTTCCCTGGAGCGCGGAGCGAACCAGGGGCGGCGCCCGAGGCGCCGCCCGGGGGGGCCCAACACTGATCCAAGAAATTCGGACAAAACTCCGAACATTGATGTTTTTGCCGTTTGGGGCTCTTCTCAGCGCCCCTCTAACGCTGACTCCACTAACGGCTACTTTGGCCAGTGACCCCGCGAACCCAACCCTCCCCGATGTGGGCAACGCCGCAATGCCAGAAAGAGGCTGTAAAAAAGCATCTTCCTGCACAAAAATCCAAGAAGTACCCGTCAATGATAGAGGCCTCCTAGATGGGGGCCGAGGAGGTGGGGTCGGAGGATCTCGCCGCATCGCTGATGCATCAGCGAAACATCGCTGATGAATGGGCCTTGCATCGGCGACGTTGGCGATGCATTCGGAGCCATCGGCATGGAGAAAATCTGGCTCCACATCGAGCTGCATCGCCAATGATCGACGATGCGGCGCGATCCTCCGACTCCATGCCCCGAATCATCAGGGGTAACTCAGGTCAGGGCTAACTCGGATTCGTTTTTCGGGAATCCGAACCCGAGTTACCCCGGGCCCGAGCTACCCTGGATAATGCGGGCGTCCATAGCCCCAAATCATCAGGAGTAACTCGGGTCATGTCTAACTCGGGTTCGTTTTTCGGGAATCCAAACCCGAGCTACCCCGGGCCTCAGTTACCCCGGATAACTCGGTCGCCCAAAAATGAGTACCCGTCACAGCGCCGCTGATCTTCGACTGTGTGCGAGCAGGCTTGCCGGAGTCGAAAGCAGAGCTGCCTCAGAAGCTGACCATCCGGCCGCCGCGATCCAATCGGTCGACCGGCAATTCTATCCAGGCTCCCCGCTCGCGACCCCAAGGCCACGAGGAGCCACAGCCTGCCACAGCGGGGATATGGACAAAGCCTTGGCCTCCGAGGCCACGACTTCTGTCCATGCCCTGCTTCCCCTGGCGCCCAGAGGTATAGAACGAACGTCCATTGCCGACAATTTGTGATACAGAACGTCGATCGTCGACGATCTGTGCTAGAACGATCGTCGATCGTCGGGGCAGCAGCAGGGGTACAGGACGAACGCCAATCATCGTCCACGATTTGTGATGCTGCGTCGCAGGGATCTGAGGGCAGCCAGTCGGCCGGTCCGCGGAGGGGCCTTGAGCTCCTCACTGTCGCCGCCGCCGCCGCCGTGTCGTCGTCGTCGTCGTCGTCGTCGTCGTCGTCGTCGTCGTCGTCGTCGTCCTCACCGTCGTCGTCGTCATCGTCGTCGTCGTCGTCGTCGTCGTCGTCGTCGTCGTCGTAATCGTCGTCGTTGTCGTCGTCGTGGGTGTTGCTCTCGAGGGTTGTCGGTACGGGCCCGCGAGGCCTTCGCAGTCTGGTCGTCGCGACCTGCGACGCTGCGCCGCCCAGACCCGGGTGATGGTGGCCTGCTTGCCACCATCACCACCATAAGTTGGAGGGAGGAAGGAGGTGGAGGACGATTCGATCCGATTCGAATGCCCATTCGGGGAGAGCGCACAGCACCAAATACTGAGCTCAGAGAGAGGTGGAGGATGAGGAGGAGGAAGAGGAGGAGGGCCCCCTCCCCCTCCCAACTCGTGGTGGCGGTGGTGGAAAACAGTCAGCGAGCGAAGAACGGTATAACATAAACTTTTTCGCTGTCGGGGGCGCCTGTCCCTGGGCGGCTGGAGAGTTTATACCCCTACGGTGCCACCGTAGGGGTATAAACTCTCCAGCCGCCCAGGGACAGGCGCCCCCGACAGCGAAAAAGTTTATGTTATACCGTTCTTCGCCCGTTAAAACAGGCCCAAACCCGGGGGCAGACGGGCGGCCGGGGCCTTGAGCTCCTCCGCGGCGATGGCGTCGCGGATGGCGGCCTTGGCCGCGCGCTGGCACAGCTCGGCGAGGTCCGCCCCGGAGAAGCCCTCGCCAGGGGCGGCGGGCGCAGAGGTCCGTGCCCGCGCCCTCGCGGTCTTGGTTTTGGACGCCCGAAATTGAAGGGGCCCCAGGACACGCAAACAAATACACACAAATAAAAAGATTCCTCATATTTTCCCATATCTGCTGGGTTTCTGTCTTCCCCCCCTTTCCCATATCTTCCCATATTTTCTGGGGAATCGACGATTAATTGTGTCTGTGTTTTTTCCCTGCCGAATTGTGGACGCCCGAAATGGGTACGGAAAGAATGGGTACACTGCCCAACAACAACTGTTGTCACAAACCGACAGCGGCCGCTGTTGGGCAGGCGGCCTTCTGTCTCGAACGGACACAGGCCGCGGCGGCGCGGACAGTGGGTCCTGTTCAGAATGAACAGGACATGCTGTTGGGCAGTGCACCCATTCCTTCGGTACCCAGTTCGTCCGTGCCGAGTGGTACGGGGGCGCGATCCCGCGGGCGTGGGCTGGCTTTCAGAGGCATCCTAAATGGGGTCCGAGCAGATGGGGCCGGAGGATCGCGCCACGTCGTCACCGAATCGGCGCTACATCGTCGATGCATCGCCGACGCCGGCGACACATCGCCGGCGTCGGCGTGGAGGGAACCGCACCGCGGGTGCATCAGCGATGCGGCGCGGTCCTCCGACCCCATCTGCTCCGACCCCATCTAGAAGGCCTATAGAGCCTTCCATTGAGCTCAAGCAAGCTCGCTTGCAGGGGATGTTCCTCCCCATCCCCCCCCTTCCGCCGCCCTCGTGAGACAGTGTCGGGCCGGAACGGCGTGCAAGCGAGTTCCGACTCGCGTGAAGTCCAGACTCCCTTCAGGGCCTGCACTCCTCGGGAGCGGCCAAGAGGGGGGGGTCCAAGAGGGGGGGGTGCAAATCATGACCGGCGGCATGTGCGCGGCCCCGCGGGGGGGGCAGGGACGTAATGAAATAAGAAGAGGCGCCATGAAATCTGGGGAAATATCATGGCCCCCGCCATGATATCCCCCCCTAGTCACCACCCCCCTCTTTGCCGCCCCCGAACTCCCTGCCCCTCCACACAAAGAAAACCTGCCTCCCGTCCCACAGATGCGTTCCGCGCGGGGAGGCCGCGAACAGGACGCGGTCGCGGGGCCAGGGGCCCGGGCCCGCGAGGCCGCGGACACGGCTATGCTTTTTCTCTGGGTGGCCCAAAAGGGGGTCCAGAGGAAAAGTGGTGGTGCAACAGATTTGGGGCAGCTGTGTTGCACATGTAGTTACTGCGCCAGAGAATTGTATTTCAGTGTATTGCAGGTGATGTATTGCACGCGAAAGTACAGCAATACATCTGCACCCCGAACTGTATTGCACGCCCCAGATGTATTGCAACCCCACAAATCTATTGCACCAAATCCATTGCGCCATCCCTTTGTCGCTGACCCCCTTTTGGGTCAACCCAATTTTCGCCCACGACCTCGGTCTTCTGCGCCACGAACGGCAGCGGCACGTTGGGCGCGATCGGCGACTTCTTGAGGGTGGCCTGGCGAAGGCTGACTCTTCCACAGACATCCTCGCGCCGTGTAAATGACCATGACGGAAGATGCTTGACCACTTTCGGCTTCCAGGGGCCCCTCTCTCGATACTCTAAACCAATACTTCGGAACAAGCTCAATCGACAAGTGGACGGAGTGCTCTAAAGCTGCTCTGAATCTCAAGAACAAGTTCTTTGATTGAACGCAAACGAACAGTACGTTACAGAGTATGAATACTGTTTCGGCTTCGCCCCCGACGGTTGCAGCTCGAATAGCAGCACCAGGCCCTGGGACCGTGAACAATCCACTCGGGATGAAGAGCCAATCCCCGTGGGAAGGGACTCTGACCTCTGGAGAGCCGCGACGCGAAAAAAACACGACGTCGGACGTCTGGGTTCACGAGGAAGCGGAGGGTCAATCGGCAACGGTGACCAGGGCCTCTTGGGGTCACCGGTGCGGCACGGGCCCAGACTTGCCCTTCTCAAACATAAGATCATATACGCTTCAGGTTTCTTGGTCGATGCTACGCTCTTCGCATCGGCCCTTTACAACACCCACGATCCCTCTGGACCCAGAGAGGTCCGTCCTTCAAAGCCTTGACCACCTGCGAACCCAACCGTTCAGCGCTTATCGGTGTGGTCGATGCGTGGGCCCCTTGACATATCTCACGCCCCGACTCGCTGACGGTGCCAGAACAATGCCGACGAACGGGCCGCGCAGATGTTTTTTCCCGAGGCGCCGGATGCATGGGAAGGAGGATCGGGTCGGGCGAAAGGGGGGGATAGCAAAGGGGGGGGGTGAGAATCAGCTCACGTAGCTGATTTTCCCGGCGCCTCCCGGCGCCGGAGGCGGCTATGTATCAAGGAATGGGCCTGCAGGATCCTGCAGGATCTGGCGCCCTGGCTGACCCCCGTCTGTATTGACCCCCGTCTCAGGGCTCCCGAAGATGGTTTTTTTTTCGAGGCGCCGGATGCATGGGAAGGAGGAGGGCGAGGACCGGGTCGGACGACAGGGGGGGGGCAGTCTCGGGCCAGCGAAGCAGCTCACGCTGCTCTCGTGTATCCCAGCGGCGGAGCCGAAGCCAGCCTTCGTCCGCCCCGAGGGGATGCCGAGTTCAGACTGGGGCCTAGGGTCCAAAATGCTACCGTGGATTCGTGGCGGTTGCCTCCAAGGCCTGCTTCCTAGGCGGCCTCTAGGCCTGTCGGGCTTCTCCGTGCAGCTAAGCCTCACGGTGCTGGGGTCTCGCGCTGGCTGGCGTCACACGGACGATCTGGCCCCAAGGAGGAGGTGGAGGAGGAGGAGGAGGAGGAGGAGGAGGAGGAGGGGGAGAAGGAAGAGGAGGAGGAGGAGAAGGAAGAAGGCGAAGAGGAGGAGGAGAAGGAAGAAGGCGAAGAGGAGGAGAAGGAGGAAGAGGAGGAGGAGGAGGAGGAGGAGGAGGAGGAGGAGGGCGAGGAGGAGGAGGAGGAGGAGGAGGAGGAGGAGGCAGCGAGGCAGGGGAGGGCGAGGAGGCGTCGAGCAGAGCAGGCCGAGGAGAGGGCCTCGAGGCAGACGCGGAGGACGACCCGGACACCCCACGCCGCGAGCGCTTCCCGGCGTGGCTCCCCCCCGCGCCGAGCACACGCCAGCGGGGCACGACGAGGGTACAATTTGTACTTGCAACCCGAGGAGAAGGTACAAATTGTACCCCAACAAAACGGTACCGGATACTCATCCCCCCATGTCCTGATCCCCCCATCGCCATCCGGCCGACCAGAGGGGAGCCGCCCGCGCGGCCGGCAGGGGCGCCCCCGCCCCGCGGCGGGAGCCGCGGGGCGCCCGCTGGCGAGGGCTGCGGCCGGAGACGCGTGAGGCGGCCACGGCTCTTCTGAAGGAGGAGGAGGAGGAGGAGGAGGAGGAGGGGGAGGAGGAGGAGGAGGGGGAGGATGGAGGAGGATGGAGGAGGATGGAGGAGGATGGAGGAGGAGGAGGAGGAGGAGGAGGAAGAGGAGGAGGACCTGGGACACACAAAGAAATAGACACGAATAACAGGATTCCCCCTATGTTCCTATTCTTTTCTAATTTCCGTCTTCCCCCCCCACTTCCCATATTCTCCCATTTTACTGGGAATCGACGACTCTTCTTAGAGGGCAGAAAGTCCACCCCGATTCGGCGGCGGACAAGACCTCCCTCTAATACACCTCCCATTAGCGAAAACGGCCTGGGACCGAAACCGGCGGACTTGGACCCGCAAAAGTGACGGCCGCGACGCCCTCTCGCGAACCGAAAACGGCCAATTCGCTAATCGACGTGTCAGGGTAGGAGGTTAGAGGGCAGGAAGTCCACCCCGAGAATAGACACACCGGCACGCGAAGCCGCTTGGCAAGTGCATCCAGAAATGAAGGGGCCTCAGGACACACAAATAAACACGCAAATGAAACGATTCCCCACATTCTCACATATTTTCTGGGTTTTTGTCGGCCCCCCCACTTCCCATAATTTCCTATATTTTCCTAGGATTCGACGATTAATTGTGTCTGTGTTTTTTCCCCTCCTGAAGGAAGAAGGAATCAAACAGGGCAGGGCTGTTTACTACACGCCCAGGCCCGTTCAGTAAACGCCAGTTGTTCGGTCCGGGTGGTTTTTCTCCCTTGACTTCTGGCGGCGCGCACGAAGGGGTAGGGGGGGAGGGGGGAAGGCTCCTTGGGAGGCTGCTTCCTAGAGGGCGCCGGCCCTACATCTATAGATGAGGCCCGCGCCGTCTGAGAAGCAGGGGTGCTTCTAAGAAGCGTCCCCCCCTCCCCCTACAGCAGGGGCTCGACCACTGATTTTTGGTGCGGGAGCGTCACGCCTCCCACACGTAGGAAAGACCATCGAAACCCAAGAAACCCAGGGCACCCTGGAGGCAAGCAGGGTGTTTCTTGCCATGGGTCCTCACTGTACCACAGCCCGGCACGATGTCGAAGGGGGGGGGCACTTCGCTCGGGACCTCCCGAAGAAAGTGACCCCCCCCCCCTTTAGAAATCACGGGGGGTAGGGGGGTTGGGCTCACACGTGGCCACCGGAACGTGGTTACAGCATGGCTGCACTCGGGAGACTTCCTAAGGCGCCGCCTACATCTTAGATGGCCCGCGCCTGCTTGAGAAGCAGGGGGTGCTTCTTGAAGAGCGTCCCCCCCTCCTCCTACGCAGGGGCTCGACCACTGATTTTTTGGTGCGGAGCGTCACAGCTCCCACACGTAGGAAGACCATCGAAACCAAGAAACCCAGGGCACCCTGGAGGCAAGCAGGGTGTTTCTTGCCATGGGTCCTCACTGTACCACAGCCCGGCACGATGTCGAAGGGGGGGGGCACTTCGCTCGGGACCTCCCGAAGAAAGTGACCCCCCCCCCTTTAGAAATCACGGGGGGTAGGGGGGTTGGGCTCACACGTGGCCACCGGAACGTGGTTACAGCATGGCTGCACTCGGGGAGACGTAAGACTCGGGTCAGGGGGACTCGGGTTTGCCCGACGGGGCCGTCATAAAAATGGCGCGACCCATTCTAAAATTTGACGCGGGCCCCCGCTGCAGACATCCCACGAAAGCTGGCCCGTCAAAATCCAGGACGCGCTCGTCAAAAAACACCGGCAAACCCGAGTTCCGGCTTGCTCGAGTCTTACGTTTTCCCCGCTGCATGCAGGAACTGACGCTCTGGCCAGCTGGCACCTCCTCCCGGGCAGCTGTGCGTCGGTCCTGGGGGCCCAGGGGGGGCCGTCCAAGGCAGGAGAATGACGCCCAAAACTCTCCGTCGTGCCTCATTCACAAGGCGAAGATATACGACGACGACGATGACGACGACGACGACGACGACGAGGACGAGGACGAGGACGAGGACGAGGACGAGGACGAGGACGAGGACGAGGACGACGACGACGACGACGACGACGACGACGACAACGAGGACGAGAACGAGCACAAACGACGACGACAAACATTGGCGCGCCCGAAGTGGGTACGACAAAGATGAGCAGTCCTCCTCCTCCTCCTCCTCCTCCTCCTCCTGATCCTCCTCCTCCTCCTCCTCCTCCACCTTCTCCTCCGCCTCCTCTTCCTCCTCCTCCCCCTCCACCCCCTCCTCATCCTCCTCCTCCTCCTCCTCCACCTCCTCCTCC